GTAAAAATTGGGGATGAAAATTTTAATGTACCTATTTCAACAAATAATAAACGCCGGCCTCCGCTGTCCGTCCGCCTGCCTGTCAGCGGGCTGTATCACGTGATCCGTAATAGGTAGACAGTTGAAATCTTCACAGAATGTGTATTTCTGTTGCCACTATAATACCAAATAATAAAAATAAATATAAATTGAAAATTTAAGGGGCTCCCCTACTAGAAATGTATTTTAGCCGGTTATTTTGTAAGCTAGACTGTGTTTTATATTATTTTAATTGAAGATTTCAAAAACCCCCGAAACAAAAAGAGCTGCTGATCTTCAAACGGCTGAACCGATTTTGACAACACATGTCTAAGAACCACAGTTAGAAAACCTGCTTTTAAATGAAAAACAGACAGATAAAGACCGACCGACAGACACACATAGCGGTCAAAATTATAACACCCCTGTCTGTTTGCATCTGGGGTTAAAAATGGAACATAATGCACCACCAGTTGTTGACGACATCGTGTAATATTTGCTTACACTGCAATGGTAGACAAAAGAACTACGAGTAAATATTGGTTTAAAAAAAGCGATATTTATATAAGTAGACACACTGATAACATTCACCTAGCGAAAAACATTTTTAAAATGAAAAAAAAAATAACATAATTTTGTACATATTTTCCGTAGAAACTTTTTATCCATAGTGACTAAATAAAAGTAAGACTTGACCACTGCAAAAGAAAGAAAGATTTTCAAATCATTGGCCTTAAAAACGCTGTAAATAAAAAAATGTAGGTACTTGTAAAAAGGAATAATGTTACAGACGGCAAAATGCCGTAAGCTGTAGTCATAGGCACTTCTTTTCTTTCTGTATCAAAAATGCAAAATTTTCCCATGAGTAATGAGTATAAACTTTAATCAGTAAATTACAAGGTTTCTACTAATTGAAAGACAGCCTAAAGTTAAAATTGTCCTAGGTAATTTGACAAAAAAGACTAATTATTTATTTCAATGCGAGCATTTAATTAATGACCCAGGAAACCTAGCCTACGACGTATTCACTGGCGCTATATCGAGTTGTACGTGCAGTTTCTATACCGTTCAGTGTCACTGATACCAGTTTCAACATAACATTCAGCGTTGCTGATAAAAGTTTCACTTTTAGTTATTATTTGATTATGTTAAATAATAAAAGAAAAGAAAGCGCTCTTAGATAACAAATATCTATTCTTGCATATTTAAATAAGAGAATGTCGCCCGTCGGTTGATGACCTTCGAGTGCATGATGCACGCATGAAGTAATGCATCACTGAATTATAATGATCCAATTGATAATTGACAATTTAATTTTACAACCCAATCGTCAAATGAATTAGACACGCAGTTGAATAATTATTGAAATGAAACGCACGAAGCGAATTCGAAGTGGACAACATTGACCAGACATGTCGACAGTCACGGCACGTAACACGGTGAAACTGTTCGACACGCGGCAAGATCGACGACCGTGGCCCTGGCCGTGTCTATGCTAATGATCAACTGCATTTGTCAAAAATATAGGCCATTTCCTTCTAAGGACTGATAGAATGCAGAAAAAAAACTTTCGCCCAAATAATTGCATTGTATTCCGAAAATCCGTTGGAATTCATCGCGGATTGCACGAATTTTCGTGACGTGTATAGTTTAGCAGCAACTTTAAATGCAATAACAGCCTCTTTGCGTGCTTGTTGTTGGTCTCTTCGGCTTTCGTTTTGGTATTCGCACTAGTTTACCATTCGATGTAAACCGTTTAATAAAACACAATCTGTACTTAGAAAACGGACCTTCGCATAGTAAAACCATGTATTTAAAAAAAATTGTGAGTTTTGAATATCCTTGTCCAGTGTAAAAAAAACTCACAATATATTTTTTTTTAAATTGAATAAGGGTGACAAAGACAAAAACAGATACGTTGTCACCTCTGAGGACTAAGACGAAAAGTCTTATTTCCAGTAAAAAGTGCCTCCGGTTCTCTACACTCACCATACGAAACACAGTAGCATTAAGCTGCTATTTTACGCTGGTATTCTGTGAGAAGTGGTCCTTCCCCCGTCGAGCCGATCCATTCATGCTACAACGATAATTTCTTAAACCCCTTTTCTGCCACAGACTCCGTCTGGATAGGTAACACCCTCACGCATATTTCTGCTGCCAAATGGCAGTGGTCAGACCGCTATGTTCGAGTCTGAAGGATATAATATAGGGCCAGTTCAATCACAGGCTGTGAGGCACGCTAACTTAGTTCTCAGAGGTGACAATGAATCTATATTTTTTATAGAATATGGGTGACAAACTACTACACAATCCACCCGATGGTAAGTGGTTGCTGTGGCCGATAGACATCTACATCTATCTTCGTTTGCGAAATAAAATACAGATGCGTTGTCAGCCGTGAGGACTAAGATAGAATGCCTCTTTTCCAGTAAAAAAGGGTCTTCGGTTCTCTACACTCACCATACGAAACACAGCAGCATTTAGCTGCTATTTTACGCTGGTATTCTATGAGAGCGTGGTCCTACCTCGGTCGAGCCGACCCATTCGTACTACAACTATACTATTAATATAGCTGCAGCATGGCTCTACCACGTATAATCTGTAGTCTTCATGTCTGAAGTTGGCTGCAGGTGTCCAAGGGCTGCAGTATCCCCATACCATCGAGTTAACTGTAAGTTCGCTTGATACTTCAGTTTTATAAAACATAAAATCAAACAGTGGACTGTTAATAGGTTGATGATTGTTATGATAGTTGATGATGAAGATACATTAGTATATAGAACTGCCCGTTTAGTACTTAATTTTCTCTCTCTTTCTCTGAACTAGAATACCGTGGGAAAGGAACTAACATCAATATTAAGTATTGTTTTAATTTCAACAATATGGCAGTAAGGTGTACTTAGTATACTAATACCTGTGCCTTAATGAATTTTAATAAAGCTAACGTTCTTACTTTACACCTTATACCATTTTAATAAGAACAGTTTTCGTTCGCATTTTACTACAGTAAAACGTAATGACCTGCTAATTAAATTGCTAAGCACTTCATTGTTTAAGTAGGACGAAATGAAAAATTTTGTTGCCGACGATAATTCATTCTACTTTTAATAGAATGTGATGCGATGTTACGACCACGTGTCACGGTGATTAGCTGTTCAGAGTTTAAATTCTCCATCTCTTCTATCGTCTTCTTCTTCAGAACCAAAATTCATTCCTTATCTATTTAACTGTCTCAGTCTTATATCTGTATAATATGTACTGCTAATATCCTCATTTCTATATACAGGGTTATTTTGTAATTACCGGCCAAATTTGCAGAGAAGGTTCAGAGTAAGTACAAAAAAATGGTGAAAAAAAATTCATTAAAAAATTTCAAATATTCCTTTTTATATTTTAAATTCAAAATGCGTGGTAGTGCATTATTTTAACTGATTTTACTGCGCACGCACACATTCGAAATGGTCGATTAATAGGCCAAAAACGTTGTTGCCCATAAATCATATTCAATTTGGGATAATTTCAAATAAATGTAGAAACCTTATTTACGATTATTTTCAAAAACTTGCGATAAAGCAATAACGGTATGTTATTATTCATATATTTAAATTTCAGTTTAAAATTTGGCTACTCTATGAAAATACCCCTGTCAAAGACTTAGAAATGAGAACATCCGCAGCCGAACCAGAGTAAACGACATAGCGCAACGGATTAGTAAGCTGAGGTGGCATTGTACCGGCCATATACATAGCTCGAAGAATCGAAACCCGATGGGAAAGAAAGGTACTCGAGTAAATAAGTGAAAAACAGAAGTATCTGTTAAGAATAGTGCCAAATTTTTGTAAATAAAATATTTACCTTAAATAAATAATATATAGAGAATATATAATAATAGATAGAGAATACCTTTAAACTTAGTAGGCAGATTCAATTTATTTATACTTTGATCGCAAAAGTGGCAGTTAACGTACCGGATAAGCGTACCGGAAACTAGAACTGTGTCATTTTTTTTTGCATCATTTTCTCTTTACATTTGCTTTCATAATTCAAACGAATTGTTAAGTAAAATCTATGATACTAATATTAAGATGATTTAGGATATTCTCAGTCCGAATTAAAGAATATTTTTTATTAAATATCAAAATTCAATCCCTAAGGATGGAAAAATAGGGGGTGCATTATTTAATTTTTTTTTAGTTCTCTTAGCAGCTTAGCTTCTATACATTCAATCAGGCCGTAACAGTTCGTTGCTTCTCAAAGCCCTCTTCAATTGTTGAACATATTTGCCGACAACGTCACACTTGACAAACATATTGGCGGTCACAGCACTAATATCTCATTACTAGCTTTGACATTCCTCCCCTTCGTTAGTGTGGTATAGTGGTGTATTTAACATTTGGAAAATACAAGGCTTACTGGCATTTATCGGTGGCAACGATATCTTTTTGGTCTTTTCCCCAGACGTCTCTTACAGCACTCATTGAATAAAATATTGTGGACGGATTCTTTTAATCCGCTTCAACACGTACGTAAAGCATATGTAAAGACAACTTTGCTATTTGGCATGGTACACGGTTGAGAGATTGATCATTATGATGATGTTAGTAAAATTTAGGACAGAAAAAATCATCAACAATACGTAATCTGTCTTCGTCAAGTGATGCCTCGTATAAACGTATTTTGTTATTTATTTAAAGTACTATTTTGTTTAGAAAGTTTGGCCAATTATCGTTTCAATATTACATTTCCGACATTCCAAACCTTCGCGTAGTTGTTCAATAAATTGCAGGTAATTATTTCTAGAGAGCTTAGAAATATGACAGAAAAAAAAACCAAAGATTAATAGCGGACAGGTTTGTAACTAAATAGCCACATTTCACTTTTGTTTGTGGTTCTAGTAAAGAAACTGTAGCAGTACATTTTCCCTTCTATTTTCTAGTAACGCTGTGGTGTGGGTAAAACATATGCTCAGTCTGGCCGCAGAGATGCGCGGGCGCACCGCTACCGTCGCGTTAGCGCTCTGCTTTTCTATTTCAAATGCGTTCGAACCGTCGCGTGTGTTAGGTATCGGTATATCTGATCGAATCGTACCAAAAATTTTGGCTTGCGCACAAACACTAGGCACAACAAAATGTTTAACAGCGTTCAGTGCATGGCGCGCGCAAAAAGCAATCAAATCGATTGCGGAGCATGAAAATATATCTTTGAACTCGGATCTGCAACAGTTTCCATGGCGGCGATACACTAATCAATCAGAAGAGCAACTTTTTACGGAGCTGTGTGATGGGACGGAAGCGTTGCTACAATACCGCCGACTCGGTCTCAATATTAGTTCAGATTACACTTTGCAATTGGGTAGTAGCGGTAACGGAACGCTGACCGTTGATGTTATTAAAAGTAAATTTATTTTTTATTTTTATCGTAGTTTAATCCTTTTTTATTATTTTTACTACAGTCGAATTGAAGCAGTTAATTAGGCGTTATCTTTTTTACTTTCTAGTGAATTCTCTTACTACGCCATATGTTATGGGAGTGACTTAATAATAATTATTAAAGAGTAGTTTTAGTTACTACATAGATAGTTATAGTACCTCAGTCCACCCCTGGATCGATTTTACAAATTAACAGTTAGCATTTTCATAACTAACCAAGCCCGATTTCTAAGTAATTTACGACAGTAACAACTCCCATGTCTATCCGGGGGCGATTTGATAGTAATTGTACTGACATAATTAATAGAATATACTCGTAATTACATCTTCGAAAGATCTATTTAATAATATTTACACTTATTGTGTTCTTAAAGATACTGTCGAGATCTATCGCAATTTAAGTAGACAGTAGGGCTTATTTTTTGTCTAGAAGCTGGTCTGATGGATACCAGCCTCTTACCTTTCCCTCTAATCTAACTAGAGGAAAAGTAGTAGTGTATGTTTCGGTTCAAATGATGTGTTTCGTATAGCAAGTAATGAGAACCAAAGATCCTTTTGTACCAGTATATTTAATGAGATATTCCATTTTAGACCTCAGGGATGAACACTCATCTGTATTTTGATTGAAACAGAAACAGAAACTTTTTAATTCAATACAGATTATACATAAGACTTATTAAAAGTCACTCTTTTGTTTAATTACCACTGGTTTGACAAATACCTCTGTCCTGGAAAGAACCAGCAAGAAACCCAGCGAGACTTTTTTTTAAAACAGCTTACAATCATGCATGTTACACAACAAATTAGAAATAGCTTGGTAGCAATCACCTCGTTCACAGGGGTATTATCATGCATAAATTCCTTAATGTTATAATAACCCTTTTTATACAAACTTAGTTTAATAAAGTTTTATGAATTTTGAGGAGGTCAAATTTTGTATACTTTCTGGAATTTTGTTGTAAAAGCGTATACATCGCCCTAGGAATGAATTACTGACTCGGTGGAGTCGAACTGGTACTACTACATTTTTATAAATGTATTGAGAGGCCAAAGTTAATATATTAATTTCCTTAAATTTTTGTCGCAGCGACTCTTTAGGCTTTAACTTATAATTTGCTCTTATGACCCTCTTCTGTAAAACAAATATAATTTCAGTATCAGTTGCATGTCTCCATAGCATAATACCATACGACATTATGCTATGAAAATAGCTAAAGTAAACTAGTCTAGCTGTTTCAACACTGGTAAGATTTCTAATCTTTTTTTACAGCATATGCTGCAGAACTAAGTCTGCTTGCTAGTTTTGATATATGGGTGCTCCATTGAAGCGCGTCTAGTGTGATTCCGAAAAAAATGGTGGTATCGACAAGACTTAGTTCCTCCGCAACAACAACATTCACTTACCATCAGGTGGACTATGTTCTCCTTTGTCACCATTGTTTTATGAAAAAAGGTACACAAGGACTGCCGTAGCCACTTACCAGGTGTGCTCTTGGTTCGCTTGTCTAACCCATCATGAAACTCTTCTGCGACCATTTTCGTTTTCATTTCGTTTAATAAGCACCATAAGCACAATATTACACTTCAATTATTTATACCAAGCAATTTTTAAAAACGATTTTGGTTCTCATTATTCTGCATAAAAATATATCAGCATTAATGCTGCTGTTTTACGTTCGTATTCTGTGCGAGCATGATCCTTCCTACGTAGGGTCGATTCATGCGTGCAGCAACCATAATCATGCTGCAACGTTGCTCTACCACGAACAATACCCAGACAGAGGATTAAAAATGGCTGATATAAAGGGAGAAATATAAGAATAATTAATTAAGCAATATCGATATTAAAGTTAAAAAGTTAGAGGTACAACCTACACATGCCTTCTCTAATTTATGAGAGGGTTTTAGGGCAAGGAAATGTCTACCGCGCTGCCCCAATCAGAGTAGGCGAGGCAATAACTTCACATGTCTTCGATATTTTTATTTCTCAGTCATACAGGTTTCCTCACGATATTTTCCTTCACCGCCGAGCACGTGGTACATCAGTATCTATAATTTAAATTAACAATTTTATTGGTGCTGGCGGGATCAAAGCCGGGTTACTCGCGTACTGTGAAATTTAAACCGAATGACTCGTTGTAATATCGATATTATAATAAACGAGAAAATATGGTAGTAGTTGCGTAATATAAATTCCATTAATCGTATATTATTTACAATCTAATTAGAAATCTTCAGCAATGAACCGTGACTTGTGGGCGAGAAAGTAAATAAATTACAATATTATGCTAATCAAACGAACGTTGTATAGTGAAAGGTGAATTAAATATGTATAACTATTTCATTTCTATGGTATCCACAAACTCTATGTTCCATATTCTTTAACAATATAACAGGTTTATTGGTTAGTATACATTATGTATGTATAATGCGCATGGCGTGTAGGCAATAAATAGACTTAGCATATCTAATAATATTAAATTAATGATCTAATGATGGTGAACGATGTATTATTCCGCATATGGTAGACCAAAGCATCAACTTTCTAAAACAATAAGAGGTTATTTAGACCGCAGGGCATAGTTATATTATTTTCAATACTGTGAAATTTCACCCGTTTGATGTGCGTTACATCAAATGCAAATTCATCATAATATTGACATTTTCCGGTAACAAATCTTGGTTTGCAAGCTTTGTAGTATCTGTGATTTCGCATAAATTATTTCCTCCTATTGGAATTCGAACCTCGGGACTTTTATTATATTAGGTTTACAACTATTATAATTGTAGGAAAATATATAGTAGGCAATACCAACATATTTTTGGATAATAAATAATAATATAATAGAAATAATTCTTTATTTCAGATATCAAAGATCCATAAGTTGTTAGTATGGCTTATATTAGGCTAGTAATTGAGAACATTTATTCATCATTCATGATTAAATAAAACAAATTAATTTAAAGTAAATCAAAACTAAACTCAAATCTATACCCAAAATTAAATCACAATAAAATCAAAAATAAAAATACTAATCAAATAATAGTAACGTCAAAATAAAATAAAATTAAATACAGTCAAACAAAAAAATTTAATAAAAATCAATCGAAATGAAATAATGTCTTAATTAAATTAGATCAAATACAGACAAAATAAAATAAAACCAAATGAAGTCAATTTGGATTCAATTTATATAACTGTGTTTTATACAGACTCTCAGTACTCTCAGGTTGATGTGTGTGTATATGTTAAATATATAGCTCTTTTGGGATGGGGGAATAGCACTGAACTCGCGTGACCGTCATGCTCAGATACATATATACAGATGTGTGAGTGTGTAAATGTTTAATATATAGCTCTTTTGGGATGGGGAAAAAGCATTGAACTCGCGTGACCATCACGCTCAGATACATCATATATATAGATGTACACACATGTTGATGTGTGTGTATATGTTTAATATATAGCTCTTTTGGGATGGGGGAATAGCACTGAACTCGCGTGATCATCACGATCAGATACATACATACAGCTGTGTGTGTATATGTTTAATATATGGTTCTTTTGGGATGGAGAAAAAGCACTGAATTCACGTGACTTTCATGCTCAGGTACATATATACAGATGTGTGTGTGTATATGTTTAATATGTAGCTCTTTTGGGGTGGAGAACAAGCATTGAATTCGCGTGACCGTCACGCTCAGATACATACATACAGATTTGTATGTATATGTTTAATATGTAGCTCTTTTGGGATGGAGAAAAAGCATTGATTTCGCGTGACCGTCGCGCTCAGATACATATATACAGATGTGTGTGTATATGTTTAATATGTAGCTCTTTTGGGATGTAGACAGAATTCACGTGAATTTCATGCTCTGGTACATATATACAGATGTGTGTGTATATGTTTGACATATAGCCATTTTGGGATGGAGAAAAAGCATTGTATTCGCGTGACCGTCACGCTCAGATACATATATACAGATGTGTGTGTAAATGTTTAATATGTAGCTCTTTTGGGATGGGGACAAAGCACTGAATTCACGTGACTTTCATGCTCAGGTACATATATACAGATGTGTGTGTATATGTTTAATATATAGCTCTTTTGGGATGAAGAAAAAGCATTGAATTCGCGTGACTGTCACGCTCAGATACATACATACAGATTTGTATGTATATGTTTAATATGTAGCTCTTTTAGGATGGAGAAAAAGCATTGTATTCGCGTGACCGTCACGCTCAGATACATATATACAGATGTGTGTGTAAATGTTTAATATGTAGCTCTTTTGGGATGGGGACAAAGTAGTGAATTCGCGTGACTTTCACGCTCAGGTACATACTCGTATATACACGTGTGTTATGTTTAATATATATCTCTTTTGTGATGGAGATAAAGCACTGAACTGGCGTAATCATCACGCTCAGGTACATATTTACATATGTGTGTCTGTATAATATATGTTTGTGAAGTTAAAAAGTTTTTACTTCTGACGTGCAGTCTTACGACTGACAGTTTTTTTTTAAATAAAACGTTAAATAGACACATACTATATTGTCAATTTTTTGACCATTTATAATTTATAGGTACCTAATAGCCTCGATAATATTATATTTGGTTGAAGATGTTAAAAATTAATTATCTGAGATCTACGTCAATAAATAAAATAAAAATGACGTATCCCATCTAGTTTCAAGATTCAGCTATTCTTATATTTCTTATATTTTTATCATATTTATTTACGGGGATCATAGCTAACTTTTTACATCTTTCATATAATGGATTTCCGCAAAGTAACTACTGATTCTATTTATGACTATATTTGATACAAAAATGTTAGAACTACTAGGAATATGCAACTCAGCAAAGTACTACTATTCACCGGCGGTATTATACGACATGGTTGTCGTTCCAATATTTTTTTTTTACTTCTTATAAGCCAGTGCTTGTCCACAATCCCACCTGGTGGTAAGTGGTGATGCAGCCCTAGATGTTAAATCACACTGTCTTAACGTGACAAAAGCCACTATTCACTCTTGCCTTGAAGACGCCCAGATTTTATTCAGATGGAAAAATAGTAAATAATAAAAACAAGACGGGGATGACTCCGATATTTCCAATAACATTCCCATTTTCCTGGCTTTAATAAAATTCTATCTAAGCACATGAAACTTTTAAGATTTGGATTACATTTATTTACCCAGAGCCCTATTTTAAACAATGCATAGTGTAATTTTTTTATAATTTTCCAACAGAATTTTTTTAATAAAAATATTATAAAAATATATTTTAAAATTATAAATTTTTATATATAAAAATTACATGTTACATTGTTTGTCCGCGATGAACTCCTAAACTACTGACCTGATTTCAATGAAATTTTGCACACTGTGCAGTTTGGTCCAACTTGAGAGATAGGATAGTTTTTATCGCGATAACTGACCCTCAATTTTTTTATTGCTGATTTCAGGAGCTTTTTTAGGAAAGCACATGGTCGTTCGGAAAGGGCAGAACGTCTGCCTGGGCAGCTAGTATATTTTAAAATATTATAAAAAATATCTTTCCATGAATCTAAACTTGAAAATAATATATTTTTTTAATAAATTTAAGAAAATCATGCATTCTAGGATTAAGCAGACTTTACAATGTTATACTAATAACAGTTTCCTGAATTTATCAAAGCATAAGACGTTGTAAATTACAACTTGTGTTACAAGTTTATTTAAGTATAAAACTACAGTTCCCGGTGAGATTATTGCTATATTTAAGTGCTGGTAAAATAATGAGAATAATAGAATTAAATGGCCAGGGTCTCACTCCGAAGCGCAAGATAAGGGCTCCAATATCTAATGGGGCAGTAGTTATTGTGCTCTACTCGCATAATAATCGTTCAACTTGTATTTGGCTTAATATGCTCTTTAGTGTATTCAGAAGCTAAGAGGACATAAGACATAATTATTTTCATTTACTGCTTAAATACCACTTAAATCATTGCAACAACTGTCAATATAAAACGGAATAATTTTACGCCTTAATACTTTGTTGTCATTGCGATACTAGGACTAAAGAGTGTATGTAATATGAGTACAGGGTTATTTTGCAATAACCGGCCAGAATTGCAGAGAAGGTTGAGAATAACTAATATAGGCAAATTATGAAGAAAAATTAATTAAAAATAATCTTTTTTTTTATAGGATAAGTGTGACAAACGAGCACACAGTCCACTTGATGGTAAGTGGTTGCTGCGGCCCATAGACATCTACATCTATCCTCTACTACAAATGAAAATGCAGATGCGTTGTCACCCGTGAGGACTAAGATGGAATACCTCATTTCCAGTAAAAAGGGCCTCCGGCCACCTGCACTCACCAAGCGAAACGCAGAGGTAAACCTCTACTTCACGCTGGTATTCTGTGAGATCGTGGTACCACCCCGGTTCGAGCCGGCCCATCCGTGCGACAGCAAAAGCCGCCACGTGACTCTACCACTGTTGAAAACATTCTCTCCTTTTCATCTTTTAAATTCGAAATGCGTGGTAATGCACTATTGTACTACGCACGCACACATTCGTAACGGTCGATCGGTCGGCAAAAATTTGTAAATTGAATCGCACACAGAAGAGCGCGTATACGTGTAGTTGTTGCCCATATATCACATTAAATTTGGAAAAAATAAAAGTAGAAGCCTTACTCGTATTTTCAAAAACTGCACTATGGTATATCATTATTTATATATATATAAACTTAAGTTTAAAATTTGGCTACGCTTTCAAAAATAACCCTGTATTTATAATCTTTAGACTTACTAGGACTTTAGGTTAATACATAGATTATAGCTAATGAATAAAACATTCAGAAACTATATCACTCATTTGTTCGTCCATAGAAAACAAAAATGCGATAACTATAAAATTTATCATCAAAGGAACTACGCGTATACGGTCTACGGTTTTCAAAACTATTTAAAAAAATCTCAAATTCATATTTCAATTCCAGGTGACGAAATGAACACCGGCCGTGGCTATATGAAGAAATTGCATAAGAAATTCTATAACATTGTCCCCTTACTATTACTTCCTGGATTAATCATGTCTGCAATCCTGCCATTCGTCTTGCCTGCTTTAAAATTGATGACAGTAGCGGTAGGAATGTTAAACAACATGGCGTTATCAGGCGCAGTATTTACGTTGTTAAGAAATAACGCATTTAACGAAGCAAATAGGCATAAAATTGTTTATGCCAACGTAGGATATCACAATGAGAAGCAATATGCGGCGTCCAGTAATCTACATCACTCCCGAGCCAAAAGCCATCCTTTAGAGTCAAATGGCGAAATCATTGGTGATTTTTCTCCAGATTATCAAGAAAACATTTTTATAAATGGTAACACTGAAATAAAAGATATCCCGTTAAATGCAGACTTGCCTTGGGTGGAAATTGAGACATAGCAAGTCACGTGTATCATGCAGATATGTACCAAAATAAGAAGAAGCAACAGTGGAGCTAGAAATAAGAATTTAAAATAAAGTTTTGTAGGGTTTTTAATTTATTTATGTAAATGTTTAAAAATAAGAATAACATTAATGTAAGTTATTTGTGATTATAATCATACCAAAATGATGATTGAATTTAAAAAATTAAAATCCTTCCGCTTGCCATCAGTGGTAAATATGTGTAATTGTACCACAATTTTACTTAATAAAACTCTAAGAGAGCGATTTCTGTGCATTAATTTTTTTTTGTCTAGAATTCTAATTACTCCTGTTGGTATTCTATAATATCGATACAGATGTCAAAACAACGATTTCAGGAAATATTGTCTGTCTGTCTGTGAACCTGAGAATGGATTTGGTTGGGATTTTCACTATAATGTTACGTAGGTGTCGAACCGATAAAGTAAAAATATATCATCTCGCTATCTAATATTGGAGCCGGGCAGTGGCCAAATTGTCTGGATACATACTATAATGTATAATATACTTATATATTATAATGTCTCGATACATAGTAAAATTTATTTGGGGCTTTAACAAAATGTTACTGAGGAGTTCTGTCGATATACTTTAATTTATCCGACTAAGCCAGTGCAAAAAAGCGGGTAGCGTTATTCCTTTCTTTATATGACAACTTCATGATGTGCGCCGAAGATTTAAGTTCTATGTTTTTTATAAATAGCAACTGTCTGCTTTTTTTTTATAGAAGAGGGGGCAAACGAGCATGCGGCTCACCTGATGGTAAGTGACTACCGCCGCACATGAACAACCGCAACACCAGGGGAATTGCAGATGCGTTGCCTTTCAGTTGCGCTGCGTTGGCCTTTTAGTAAGGTGTAAGCTCTTTTCTTGAAGGACCCTAAGTCGTATCGGTACGGAAAGATTGCGGGTGGTAAACAATTCGACAGGGAAGTTATACGAGGAAGAAAACTCCTAGTAAAACGCATAGTTGTGGACCGCCAAGCATCCAGATGGTGACGATGGTATCGTGAACTTTGACGCGATGTGCGTACGTGTTTAATGGTGGTAGAGCCACGCAGCAGTTTTTGCTGTTGCACGTTGGGCCGGCTCGAGCCGGGTTGGTACCACGACCTCACAGAATACCGTGCAGGTGGCCGGAGGACCAATTCCCCCCCATCAACATGGTAGCGGAATTACACGATAGACTACCCCAGGAGGGTACCAGTACCCCTGGAGAATCCCTCGCTGAGCATCCACTACCATGTTATTCCAAACCTGATTCCAAACGTGGGTGCTCAGGCTGCCCCGCGAATTCGGGGGGGGGGGGGGGAGGGGCAAAATTCCGCTCAAAAACATAACTGCTCGGGGCAAACTGAGCAAGAACACCAAGGCGACCCCTGCCACGCTATCCGTGAATTTCTGCAACATCAGGGGACTTCACTCTAACCTAAACGCCGTCCACTACCATCTCGAGACGGCGAAGCCGGCCTTGCTCTTTCTGACCGAGACGCGGGTTTCCTCTCCGGCTGATATTTCGTATCTCTCCTACCCGGGGTACAAATTGGAGCACTCCTTTGTGCCTCGGGCTGGAGTTTGCGTGTATGTCAGAGAGGACATCTGTTCTCGACGCCTCGGCAGTCTTGAAGGTTTGGACCAGTCCATCCTTTGGCTACGCGTAGACAGCGACGACCATCCGCGCATCTACGTGTGCCTCTATAGGTCCCATAGCGGTAATGCCGAAACAGACCGACTCATCGACCACTTGCTACAACAGGTCCCATCCGCAGACCCGTCAGACCGCTCAGACCCGTCCAACTACAGGCCTATCGCCATCACCCCCCTGTTCTCCAAAATAATGGAATCCGTTATAAACTTCCACCTCATGCGGTACCTTGAGGATCACCAGCTGATTAGTGACAGTGCCAGTACGGTTTTCGTCGGGTGATCTTCTGGTCTACTTACCTCATAGATGGGCGGAGGCAGTAGAGTCCAAGGTGGAGGCATTGACCGTTAGTTTGGACATTGAGAAGGCCTTTGCTCGGGTTTGGCACAAAGCGCTTCTTTCGAAGCTCCCTTCCTATGGGCTTCCCGAGAAATTATGCTATTGGATCACCAGCTTTCTTGCAGATCGGAGCATCAAGGTCGTTGTAGACGGTGCATGCTCCGACTACAAGCCTATTAACGCTGGTATTCCACAAGGCTGCGTGCTATCACCAACGCTGTTTCTTCTGCATATCAATGATATGTTGGAAGCCGGTAGCATTCATTGCTATGCGGATGACAGCACTGGTGATGCTCTATACACCGGCCGTGCCAATATTTCTCGGGAAACCGTCACCGAGTACCGGAACAAACTTGTGTCTGAAGTCGAGTCTTTGCTGGACAAAGTCTCGGATTGGGGGCGACTAAATCTAGTCCAGTTTAATCCTCATAAGACACAAGTTTGCGCGTTTACCGCTAAAAAGAACCCCTTTGTCGTATCTCCTCAGTTTCAAGGTACTCCCCTTGTTGCCTCAGCCAGTATCAGAATGCTCGGCGTCGACATATCGAGTGACGTGCAGTTTCGTGGTCACTTGGAAGAGAAGGCCAAATTGGCCTCTAAAAAGCTTGGCGTGCTCAGCAGAGCGGGACAGTATTTCATGCCGGCTTAACGCCTGCAACTTTACAAGGCGCAGGTTCGGCCTCACATGGAATACTGTTCCCATCTCTGGGCTGGGGCTCACCAGTGCCAGCTCCTTCCACTTGACCGCATCCAGCGCAGAGCGGCTTGAATCGTCGACGACCGAGTCCTTTCCGATCGGCTCGACTCATTGACGCTGCGAAGAGATGTTGCATCTCTTTGCATTTTCTTTCGCATTTACCATGGGGAGTGCTCTGAGGAAGTTCGGATTAATCCCAGCCGCCAAATTTCACGAACTCACAACGCGGCAGAACTCCCGATACCATCCACACCATTTGGATGATTGGCGGTCCACCACTGTGCGATTTATTCCTCGCACAACTTCCTTGGAATAGTTTACCACCAGCGATTTTTCCGGACCGATACGACTTAGAGACCTTCAAGAAAAGAGCGTACTCCTTTTTAAAAGGCCGGCAACGCTTCTGCAATTCCCCTGATATTGCGGTTGTTCATGGGCGGTGGTAGTCACTTACAATCAGGTGAGCCGCATGCTCGTATGCCCCCTCTCCTATTAAAAAAAGTGAAATTTGGCGGCTGGAATTAATCCGAACAATGCCACAGAGCATTTGTCGTGGTAGATTCGATAGAAAATGCAAAGGGATGCAACATCCCTGTGCATCGCCAGTGTATCGAGCCGATCAGAAAGAACTTGGTCGTCGACGATTCGAACCGCTCTGCGCTAGATGCGGTCAAGTGGAAGCAGCTGGCACTGAGGTGCCCCGGCCCAGAGATGAGAACAGTATTCCATGTGAGGCCGAACTTCCGCTTCGTAAAGTTGCAAGCGATGTGCTGGCATGAAATACTGTCTCGCTCTGCTGAGCACGCCAAGCTTTTTAGAGGCCAATTTGGCCTTCCTTCCAAGTGACCACGAAACTGCACACTTTTCGATATGTCGACGTCGAGGATTCCGATGCTGGCTGAGATAGCAAGGGAGTGCCTTAAAACTGAGGAGATATGATAAAGGGATTCTTTTTTGCAGTAAACGCGCAAACTTGTGTCTTCTTGGGATTGAACTGAACTAGATTTAGTCGCCCCCAATCCAGGACTTTGTTCAGCAAAGACTCGACTTCAGACACAAGTTTGTCCCGGTACTCGGCAAGGTTTACCCGAGAAATATTGGCACGGCCGGTGTATAAGGCATCACCAGTGCTGTCATCTGCATAGCAATGAATGTTATCAACTTGCAACATATCATTGATATGCAAAAGAAACAGCGTTGGTGATAGCACGCAGCCTTGAAACACTAGCGTTAGTAGGCTTGTAATCAGAGCATGCACCGTCTACTACAACCTTGATGCTTCCGTCAACGAGGACTCTTATCGAATTGCAAAATTTTTCGGGAAGTCTAGAGAAGAGCTTCGAATGAAGCGCTTTGTGCCAGACCCGATTGAAGGCCTTCGCTATGTCCAAAGTAACGGTCAATGCCTCCCCCTTGGACTCTACTTCCTCCGCCCATCTATGAGTCAAGTAGACCAGAATATTATCAGCTGAAAACCATTTGGCGGTCACTAATCAGCTGGTGATCCTTAAGGTACCTCATGAGCTGGCAGTTTATAATAGACTCCATTAGTTTGGAGAAAAAGGAGTTGATGGCGACATGCCTGTAGTTGGACGGGTCTGATCGGTCGCCTTTTTTAGGGATCGGGTTTACCAAAGCTGTCCTCCATGAATTCGGGACTACGCCTTGGGAGTAGGAGTACCGGAAAATACGCGTTAAAACCGGTGCCAACTCCGGAGTACACGCCTTCAGCACAATGGGAGGAACTCCATCAGGCCTACTCGACTTGCTGACGTCCAGGGAGAAGAGTGCTTTGCGAACCGAGCACTGTGTAAACCGCACAGCCGGCATGGAGCACTCACACCACGGGATCGTTGGCGGTGTGTTACCTGTCATCTAGAGTCGAGTTAAGTTGCTTAAAGTATTAAAGTAAATTGTTCTTATTGAATTTTTTTTTATAGAATAAAGGTGACAAGTGTGCACACAGTCCACCTGATGGTAAGTGGTTGCTGTGGCCCATAGAGATCTACATCTATCTGCGATTACGAATCAAAATGCAGATGCGTTGTCACCCGTGAGGACTAAGATGGATTGCCTCATCAAATAAAAATAAAGTAACAGTCTCTAAATGTATGTAAATAAAACTGACCTCTATAATATGGACTGGCTATACACCGTGACATAATGAGTCGATTTGATTTTCGCCATTTCGACGCTGACAGCAGAAGTGAACGTCCACGGAACTACGAGTAATAATAGAGCGAAGACAGTGTGATAAAATATATCGATAAAAATTCAATACCTAGTCCTACCCGT